ACTGGTATATTACTTAACAATATTTAACGTTTAAATGATCATCATTATGTCTCCATCCTCAGCAGTCTGAAGCCTTGTCGGCTGCCGGTTCCCCATATCACTGAAGTGACCTCCCGTCACTCACTGACAAGCATCGTCGGCTGCTGATTCCCAATATCATTGACGTGACCTCTCGTCGCTCACAAACCGACACATATAGAGCAAAGAGTGACTCAGCCTCCAGCTCACCCCTCACCGCCGTCTACCGCGCACTCATATATGAAGTAACTAATCTACCATTGGCATCCTCTATAAATACAGACGCTATTCGCCAAAAAGAGAGGTTCGACTTTTCGTAATAAAGCACCCCAAAAAAGAAAAACAACACCTAATACACAAGGAGAACACACCATTCCTCTGCTATCACACTCAAGTTCATCAACTGACTTGATCGTCGGAGGTACCACGGGGGAAACAAGCCCCGTCTTCTCACGATTCTCGCATGTGCAGGTCGCTTGCCCGTTCCGAGCTCTAAGAACTAGGCATAAAGTCGAGGGAAAATTCTGAAAATAGACCACTTTTGCTAAATATTTAGCAAAATCGATAATTTTGCTAAATATTTAGCAAAATCGACCTTTTTTTGGCCAATAGGCCAAAAAGAGGCCGATTTTAAAAAACAAGCTCCCGAAAACATACGGGACTAATAGTCCCGTATGTTTAGAACCAACTAATTGTTGGTTAGTGACAGTAAACATACGGGACCACTGGTCCCGTATGTTTATTGTGTTTAACCAATAAATTTTTTTGTGGTGCAATAGGGACCCAAAAACATGGGACCCTACATGGGACATGTGAGGTGTCGACTCTCTGTCCCATGATGCACTGTTCATGAACAGTGTATCATGGGACAGGGAACCGACACCTTACATGTCCCATGTAGGTCCGGTGTTATAGGGACCCAAAAACATAAGACCCTACACGGGACATGTGAGTTGTCGGCTCTCTGTCCCATGATGCACTGTTCAACATAGAACTTTGACGCATGAGACTGCATTCCACTTGATCGATCAGGCAACATAGAATGCCAATTGTAGAAGGATAGTTATCTGGCTACAGTACTTCAGTGGACCTGAACGATTATTGAGGAGCTGAGAAAGGAATAACAAAGGCTTGCGTGTTTAAAGCTAGCTGGGAGATCAGCAAGCGATGCTACTACATAGCCTTTAATCAGTAGATTTATGTTTAAAGCTAGCTGGGAGATCAGCAAGCGATACTATTACATAACCTTTAATCAGTAGATTTACATATATAAGAGCTACACGCTATTTCATAACCTTTAATAATTAGTAGATTTACATAAGAGCTGCACGCTAGAAAAGCTGCTGTGCGACATCTACTATTATTCCCTGTTCCTTATTTTATAGCATAATAATAATGCGTATCCATGTACATGCTCTTTTGCACGTTGACGTCATCTAGGACCCAACACTTGGGCTTCTTGCTAGCTAGCTACTACTGTCTCCCTTCCTGTAGCTTCACATATCTAATCCTGCCATCAAAGTAATTAAGCACAAAAGTAGCATTAATTAGATGTAGATTTCCAAAAAATTATAAACTATGAGGATCGCTAAGACTTTGGCTTATTATTCAATTCCAAGGTAAAGACAACAACAGGACAACTGGATGGGACGTAGAAAGGTGTATATATACATCATGAGCCATTGGCCTTGGCCATAAACTTGGAATCGATCACTAGATTGCTTAATTTAATTTTATCAGAGACGTTAGGATTTTATTCTAGTGCACGCAATTAAGAAACATGTGGAGGAAAAGGAAAGCACATGCAACATACATAGTTGTGCAAGGAGATTAGATCTCACGTGAGCTTGGTTTTGCTCGAGAGACAAGGATAAGGCGCTAGGACTGCTCTTAAGAGGTGTAGTGTATACTTTAGGGAGTGTCCTCGCTCGCTACGAATTAATAATATTTCAACTCCCAAGTGGGATTATTTATTTATTTATTTATTTATCGTGCCCTTATTCCCTAATAACTGAAACAAAACCAACTGTTCCATCTAAATCATCCTCCTTAACTAGCTAGGAGAACGTCCATAACAGAAGGAATTGATTGAAGAGTGGGGTACTACTACTGCAGTGACTTAATTGTATTTTTAGTTTAAGGCACGTACGCACTCTTTGACATCTCAGGGTAAACAACAATATACAACTCAATAAACATGTTTACACCAGCAATTAAGTTATCATCTACTAGTGGAGATGGAAAGGGCTATATATAGCTGATTCATGTATAAGTGGAGGTCCTTCATAAACAATGAAGAAATTAAGCTCGATCCGTACGTACCTAGTTATCTATAATGCTTCTAAAAAAAATATCTCAGGCATGCGCACAAGAGCGTATAACTAGATGAGGCACACTACACATTGGTTTAGAACTTTTGAGGAAATTAAGAACTGAAAACAGATAATTAGCTAAACAAAGCAACTACGTACGTACTTGCCAACACTTCTCCCTGGCTACTTGAGAAAAGAGAGGCAACGTACCGTTTCAATAAAAAAAAAAGAAAAAAGAAAAAAGAAAACTCAGATAACTAACTGCCTGCAAGAGTCAGACGCAAGAGCAAGAGAAACGCAATATCGAGAATTAGGTGCTAGCTAGCTGCTACCTGTGCCCCTCATCTGTAGTTAGGGAAGGGAATGCGACCAGACTCAATCTGCTTGATATCCTCCTCAAGAAGCTCGAAATGCCTCTTCACTTCTTCACGAGTCTTGCCCCCCACAGCACGTGCCACATTCTCCCACCGGTTGGGGCTATCCTGGTCATACACAGCCAGTGCCTTCTCAAACAGCTTGTTCTGCTTAGCAGTCCACTTCGAGCCTGAACTCTGCGATGATGATGCCATTATTGGTTAAAAACGGAAAGGAAAGGAAGGAGGAAAAAAAAAAGGAAGAATGTCAATTTGAAGCACAGATGAATTGATTCCTAGGACTACTGTGGGTATGAGGAAGCAGTTGGCAAGGGCCGCTAGCTCCTTATATATATACAGGACGGAGCGTGGGCCGGGTTGTGGGGTAGACGTACTACACAGTCCAGTTGGCAATCGAATATATTTGAACATAGAAGGTTCTGGGAGAGTAAGAACTAATGACTCGTAGGATTGAGAACCACATATATAGGGTATGTAAGAGATAAGAGGGAGTTAACCGGAGGAGAAATAAGAATAAGGGATCAAGTGTGCATGTGTGGGAGGAAGCACAAACCATAATCTCCAATGAGAAGGGAATTAAGGGCTGCCTTCAGATTTCCTATTTATGTGTCCCCTTTGAACAAAAATGCCAACAAATTAATTATAGCTACAGATAATCGTTGATTATATACTAAAGAGGTATGGCATGGGCATGCCTACATGGGTATATATCGACAGAATTAATGTGACATGCATGTCAATAGAGAAATTGCAAGGTAATACATATGAAAAGACAACAACATAACTATAAGTATCGACCCAATGACTATCAGATACGATGTGGCTTCAAGTTAGATCGAGATGCCTCCTACATAGTTTAGACATACTGATCTGTTTAATTACTGGCTCTCGAAGCTCATGAATCAAACTGTGGCTTTTTTACCTGTTGATGCAAAGAACAGGGTCTGATTTCCCAACTGGGATACAAAAGGTTAAGCCTTGGTCGTCCAGCACATGCTGGTCAGAAAAGGAAACATGAGCCACCGGCCACTCTTAATCTAATTAATATCTTGATTTAATTATAGAAAACACTCCTCGCATGACGTAGGGCAATAGGATCCTGATTCCTTATAATGATGCATCACAAGAATACAAGTTTTAATTAAAAAAAAATTTTGAAGCCCCTGTTGGGATCGAGAACCATTAAGTTATGGCCACTTTTACTGATT